CTGCACAAGCACAAACTCTTGTAATGCCTCAAAATATCTCTTGTATCTTGTAATTGCTCTAAAATCTCAGCAAAATTTAATTTAAAAATTAAGACTTTTCTCAAGTCCTTCCCTTTTTATTCCTTCAGGACAGGTGGAATCACAGTGACATGTAATAGCTGAATCAGAAAGTGCCTTTTGGGTTACTTTATTCACCTTTCAATAAATATTTGTATCTTGCTGTGAGACTCAATGATGTGGGGGATTTGGCAGCCTGAAATTCTCATCCTCCTCTTTGACTTGGTGAGTAGCTTAGATAGACATGATTCAGGGCCCATCTTCGCTGAGCTACGTTGTTGTCTTTTGCCTGGGGTTTCACAGTGGGTTGATAGGGATGAGATTTAATAGACCTGGTGACATTGATTTCCAACCCAATTCCAAAACACAATTATCAATACCAAAATGTTTGTCAGTTCTGATAACCTGGTGCATCAGGCAGAGCTGTTTATTCACTCCTGAATAGGACTTCTACCTCTAGAACAAGCTTTGCTTCAAACAACAGCTGCTTTTGTTGTTTCAGCAGTGCAACACAAAACACTTGTATTCAAGTAGGATTCCTTTTCTCTGCATATTGGGACTACATTGCATGTTATTTAACAGTAAAATGTTCTTCATGTACAGACTGCGTGGGCACATACTGAAAAGAAACATTTTCATCTTGACAAGTGTTAAGCAGAATTCCCCTAAGTCACTTTTCTTGAAAAAAAATGCCCTGAGATTTCCAGTTTGGCCTAAACCACATCTTCCGCTATATACGTTATACATTTTGTACATAAATCTGTGTGTTTATATAGAAATATGTAAATCTCTTCCCTCTACATGGATGTGTATAGATAAGGGCAACCACCCGAAGAATCTGTACATTTTACAGACTTTGCTCGTACATGTTAGGCATTTTGACTCCCAAGTAAACCGAGCGGGTTGCTTCAGTCACTGGCACCTGACTGTCCGACTAGCACCGAGTTGTTCAGTTTAACTTGCCTTCTTCCTTACTCTCAGTTCTACCTGCTGTTCACAATCAAATGTTGGCATCTAGCTGCTGCCAACAGCATGTTGGCAACTCATGCTGCGCAGCACTAGCATGCTGTTTCTTGCTGGCTCCATGGATGAGATTGTGTGACAAACATACTGCTCGGCCGAGACGAGATGGCTGCATGCGTAATGTTTAGCGTAGTTTGTAGCCCTCTAGGTAACTTCCTGACAAAGACAAAAATCCTCTTTGCCAAGTTCAGGGGGAAGAAGAAAAGGTCAGATGACCCCTGGCCTTTGGTGTTTCTGTCATTACAGAAAGGTAAGCTCTGTGAGGTATGTTCAGCAGTATCTGCTTCTCTGAAAAGCTGTACAGCTTCTGCTAACATACATTTTAAATACCTGTACTTGGCTGCTCATCTCTCTTTTCTTGCTTGAAAGTTGGAGAAAACTAGTTTCCAGAAAAGTTTTTTCAGCTGAACTCTTTTTCTGAGTGTTTCCCCCAGACTTCTCCATTACTGAAAAAAAAAACCCCATGTACTCTAATATGGTTTCAGAAGTAATACCTCCTTTATGGTGTTTACAGCTTTAAAAAATTTGTTGACTTCTCTAATTTCCTGAACCTTTTAAACATCCCTTACCTCATGAAAGATTTTTAACTTTTACTTAACAGAGAAATACTTTTTGTCACATACTCATTTTTACCCTTGAAATTTCGTCTCCTCTACTAGTGCACCTCTGGGAACACTAGTTCTTGGACCTGAATGTAGCAATGTCCACACTGTAATCCTCAGGTAAGGCTTTGTCACCTCTCTTGTGCCAGTACCTGGCAAACTGACTTTAAAGCAGCTTGTCCAGCATGTCAAGTAATTTTTAGCAGAGCTCTTCTTTCAAAGTCTGTGAAAAAGAAAACAGCTCTAGCAACAATGCAGTTATGCTGAGATCAGGCCTGTGGACATGTATGCTTTGGAGTATTTAGGTAAGTTAGATCTGAGTTTAGGCCAGCTATTAATCACGTAGGTCAGAGAATACATCTTACCCGAAGAGCCGCACCATAAAAGTACTAATGTCCAAGGGGCTAAGGTCTATTCTGAAAAATAATGCTGAAAAACATGTGTGCATGACGTTTTAGGGTGCTTACATGTCAGTGGATAAGATATCTTGCAGATAAGATTTGCACAGTAAACAATTGGATACAGTTTTAAAAGGTGAATATGGAACTTGGACACAAAGTTCCTGCCAGTTTGAGTGGACTTGTGGTTAAAGTCCAGAGTCACCTCTGAAAGATCATAGGAACATAAAAACAGAGCTGAAAAAGATGTTCAGAGGTCATCTAGTTAGTTGTTCTATCCCTGGGCAGGATCAGGTGGTTGGGTAGTCCTAAAAGGGGCTTGGCTACACAATTCTCAAAGCTTTTCAGTAATGTCAGAGCCACAGCCTTTATATTGTTTTAGCCTGAAAAGGCTTCTTCTATTGTCAAATTCCCTTACTGCAAGTTAAACCCAGTACTCCCTGTTTGCAATTTCCTTTTTTTTTTCCAGACTTAGCAATGACAGCTCTCAAATTTTTAAGATTTTATGATTAGCCTGGGTCAGAATTACACTGTATTAGATGCTGTTCAGATTGCAAACTGAAGTGAGATGTGTGAGCCAGAGCGACAACAGATTAGCAGGAAAGCACAAAGGAAGTGCGAATAAAGGAGACAGTGGTCACGGTAACAGGAGATACCAGGATACCATATTTGCTGTTGGATCTGCTGGCCACCTACACAGAGCAGCTTCAACATTTACTCAGGAGCAAGCAGCAGGTCACTGGTATTGTTATCAGCAATTTAAAAAAATGATAGGTGCAATGATTTAGCCTGTATTTTGGGGGAAGTTTGGGGAACATACACAGTCATACGATAACTCAGCAACGCATGCTCGGTCCCACTAGGTAGAGCTCCACCATGGAAGTACTCTTCCACCCGCCTCAGCACTGAGCTCCAGTCGCAGCAACTGACTTGCATTATTTACAGTGTCAAGATAAGCAATCATTGCCCTTTAGATCATCTTTAAGGATAAGCGGAAGTTGTGTTCTTTCTAACAAGGGGTCCTGCTGCTCCAGAGAGCTTCACTCTACTTCCCTCACGTAGCATATTGATTACATGCCAAAGCTGCTTCCTCACTGATATGAATGAGCTGAGAAATGACAGGACTGACAATGAGTGTTTCATGCAGACCTCATCAACCTGAAGTGCTACAGTCTTTTAGTGTGTTATGATCCATAACCCAATTATAGGCTATTTCATTTATCAAGGCTTATATATGTCCATATACTATCTTTGTGAATGCAAACACACTCAGTGAATGTGTTTCCTACTCGAAGTGTTGTCTCTTGTTGCTGTTTGCAAAGAAATTATGTCCCATCTAACATCTTTGAACTGGCTACTTTTCTGAGAAGAATGAGATGACCACCTTTCAATAGAATCATGGCAAGAATGAGATGTGATAGAAGAAGAAATGTCATTTAGATTTTAATCACTAAAGTAGGATGAAGAAACCTGGAGTCCATTCCTTGTTTTCCACACAGACTGCTTAATGTATTTCCATGATGGTAGTTTAGGATATATGTATTTTTAAAACATTACAGCAACGTAGAATTGTGTATTTAGGTCCTTAAGTCTTAAAGGCACGGAGAATTTAATACTTTTCTCTTTAGTCTCTGCCTTATTTCCTCACTTTATGAGTAAGGGTTATGAAGTTCCTAATATTAGACCATTTGATTAGAAATTTTGTTTAGTATTGGCTTCATATTACATGGAGTTATCTGTGAAGTGCATAGTGAGAGCTCCATGAGGCCAAAACCAAAATTCCCTTCTCATTTCTTGCATCCATGCCAGAGCTAAAACCCATTTTGTATGTTGGATGACCAATTTCATCTGGCATTAGCACAGAACTAAAGAATATCCCCACATCTGCATAGCAAATATATCCCTAGTAACTGTGGTTCAAATGGGTCCCCACAGAGACATCATGTTAGGTAAAAGGCCTATATCAAACCTTAGCACTGAATACTCCTCATGCCTCCTCACTTATGAGTTGTATTTCTGTTACACAGGCTGCTCCACCTTGTGGGGTTGCTGATGTTAATTTTCTAATAATCAATCTTCTTTTAAGCTTTCACTTTCTGGCTGCCTGTTTGGACTTCTTCCCCCTTTGCTTCTCTTTCCCATTTTACTAAGGAGAAAGTGAAGGAATAGAGACAAAACCCCTAGATACAGAACCAGCAGGGCTAGAGAATGATTAGTCTTTTGCCCAAGGACAAAAAATGCAATCCATARCTGTGAAGAGTTCAACAAACACTTAGAAACAGCTTATGAAAATGGCTTCTCTGAATCCTGCTTCCTTCCTTTCTTTGTCTGTCTCCACTGCTTAATCTATTTAAGATTTAAGCCCCATGATTTGGGCTTTTACTCCAAGTGATCCATGAGACGCCRAAGTTTTTCTGATTAGTAGCATTTTTTTTTTAATTCAGCTTTGTATTTTCACTTGCATTAAGAAAACTACAGTCAAAAGACTGTCAGAGAAGCAAATGAGATCTCATCCTTTAAATGTGTGCTAGGAGTAACCTCGAGCTAGGGACACCAGATAAGTCATCTCATCCCACGTTGTGTCCCACATTGGCACTCTGTGTCTGGAGAGTAACTCTGAGCTTCCACAGAGGATGGTAAGCTGATGCATGTTTGATTAACCTAGCTAAGAACTTGTCATCYATATTAATATCTGCTTCTGRCTGAGGTTATCRATCATCTGGCAGGAAGGTGASGTYRTATTGCCGTCACACTGGGAGAAGTCTCAGGATTGATGCAGATCTATTCAGAAGGTATTCACCTGGTTAATGGGGTGCATATTCAACTGTGTCCACCCTTCAATCATTTCTCTGACGTCTTGCAAGACTACAGGTTTCCCTCAGGAATCATCAAACCTTTTACGTCTCCATCCATGGGGCTGACAAGAGATCTGGTCAGATTCCTCCACCCTGCCACAGAAGGGGAGGGGTCCTTCACTCTGAAGATTTAAAAGGGACCCCCAAATTGCTAGGAGATCTTGTAACTCTCTCCCAAGAAGACTGCAGATTTACAGCTGAACTAAGTATGAAGGTGAGTGAGACTCTTCAGATGTATGGGAAACATTTTAGGTTGCAATTCATACCTTTTCACTTGAGTATAAGATTTTAGGACCTTTAGAGGGATTTATTATTTTTAACTTAAAAAAAAACCCCAAAATTAGCAATTAAAAGCAATTAATAGCATGCTGTTTTCAAAAACAGGATGGAATAACCCATTGTGAATCATAGTGGCTATATGCTTTGTTGYCTATCASAGTTATTAATGCAARAATAGCAGGAYGRTGTRTGAACGAGGAGAGGGKCAATTTGTCCACAGAGGATTCATGCCCAAAGCATTTGTTTGTGTGTGCTGCTTCAGTGAACAAGCTCCAAGAATCTAGCAGTCATCTACTGTGACACGTGTTTAATCATGATTGATGCAGATAGGATGCTAAATTTAAAAACTTTCTCTTCCTGAAGGAATAGTGACCTGCTTTTATGGGTTATTTGCTTGAAATGGCAAGTCTCTTGCATTGACTTATTGTTTCATCTCTATCATTCATTGTTTGATAAAATCAACATACATGTTATGTCCTTTCCTCCCCTAAGTTTGTGTATCGTGCTTATTTCTGCAGGATCTAGTGTCGATGTAAAAAGCACAAGAAGCACTTGTCTCAGTGACAGCTCTCACCTGTATGGATCCCTTAAAATAATATGAATAAAGTGAATAAATTAGGTCTGATTTAACATTCAACCTGCCATCGAACTAAAGCTGAAGTAGCCACTGAACTAGAAGAATTTTGGCAGTAAGATAGGGAGAACACAGGAGCTGGAAATACCTTCACATTTAGGTTTGAATTTGAGAGGATCTACAGAACTGAAATGTTTTTCCTGTAGCTTGTGATTCTCTGTCCTCTGCAGGGGCTGCGTAACCTGACAGCATCTGTGATGGCCCTGCTCCTTGCAGCATCCTTCATCTCTTCCTCCTGGAGTGCTCCTCAGGTAAACAGCTCACTCAGACCCAATGTGCAGCAGTCACAAATCTCACAGGTTGGTTGGTTAAGTATTTTTACCTGTTAATAATGGCATGGTTAACATGCGGTTTTTTGTTTTTTTTTTTTTTTTTTTTTTTTTTTTGGCACAAAGGGTCATTTCCAAAGGAGAAACTGGACACCTCAAGCTATGCTCTATTTAAAGGGTGCACGTAAGTCTCAATCTTTATCAGTTTTGAGGAGTTAATGTTCCCTAGAGGACATAATGTTCCGCTAGATAATTCTTGATCCTAATTCCTGAAAGAAGAAAAGCGAAACAAAACATACTTAAAATGTACAGATTCGGAGTCTAAAGTAAAACCTATTGGAAAAGCAGTTTCTTCATCTGAAATGATTTTAAAAACGTTTTAAGGTACACTAGATACATTTAGCATTTATTATTCTCATCTAATGTTTTTTAAAGCACCATCTTAAGCAGAACATATTGCCTATCACAACCATTATAGAAGATATTCAGACCATAAGCAACCACTTCTAGAAAGTGCTTGGATTCTGTTGCTAGTTCAGAGTTAACAGAGCATTAATTAAAAAAACTAAAAAGTACATCTGAAGAAGGGATTTGTTCTCTGAAGCAAAAATACAAAATTTAACAAAAATATTTTCTATATTTTAATTCCATTGTAAATTATTATTTCAAAATTAAAAACTATCAGATGGAGTTATATATTAAGACTGCAAAAAGCTTAAAGAATACTTTCCTTCAATTAAAAAGAAAGAGAAAAATCTTGAAAGAAAGTTCACAAATCTGAGAAAAAAAGAGGGGACAATAAAAACAACGATGACAACAACAACATGAAATAGATGCAGGGTCAAAACAATGCTAAGGGTAACTGGAAGAAATTCTAGTTAATAATAAAATTATTATTAACTAATAAAATTATTTCTGTTCTTAATATCACAGAATTTGACACTTTTTTATTGTCTGATTCTTTCAACTGAATTAAGACTAGTTATTTCTTTTATACTCACTTGTGTATCAAACATTGATGCACAGGATGTATTTTTTAATGCAGTTTTTTTTACATTTTTAAATGGACATATTGCTTTGAAGGTTATTAGTTTATAGACCAGGGAAAAAAAAAAAAAAAAAGAAAAAAGGAGGGACTTGACCGCCGTACAGCAGTCAAAGAAAGAGGTAGCAAAAGACAGTAAATTTCACTGGATCTACAGTTCATATAGCAGGTTAATGCAAGAATGAAAAATGCTGAAACCTCACTTCTATGCAATATGTTTGCTTTGCTGTGTTTGAGTTCAGAATGGGCTGTTGCTGATTTTGAAAGTCCTTGGGAAGGATAGAGATATGCATCACATTTTATGTTTGCATAAAAATCACTGTAGTTTTGCTTTTTGAAAATGCTGATCATAGGAATTACAACAGATTTGGAGGTTGTTTTTTATTATTTTTCCACTGTTTTTGTAGAGGGACGTCGATTCATCTCAGAGGAGAGCCAGCAAAAAGATCTGTATGACAGAGTGCAGCTTGGTAAGTGAACATGCACAGGTGTAATGTATCTTTCCTTCGATAAGGAGAGAAATCTGTGAATTCTGTATTTATATTCAAGGAAGCAATTAAACTCCCCATGGTTATTCTTTCATTCCAAAAAGCACATTATAAGAATATGTGTCTGATTTTAGTTTCTTGTTTATCAATGTGACTTCACTGATGTAAGAGGTGGTGTTGCACACTGACCTGGCTGTTAAGTGAGATTGTCAACAATGACGTTGAATCTCTCTTTCTTCTGGAAAAAAATAAAATCAAATTATTAATTTTCGATAAGTGACAAATGTAGACTATGTTAGTCAGTTAGTTAGTTAGGTAAAGTGTCTGTTGGAAACACAGTCTTGCAGCAAAATAAGAAACACATGAAAGAGTAAAATGTTCTTTCTGCTTTGTAAAGTTGAAAATGCATTAGGCATTTATTGGGCTTGTTCTCAGCATGATTGTTACAATGTGAAGCAGACTTTTTTTCACCTTTTTTGGCTCTCTAGATGTAAAGACAAAGTAAAAAAAAAAAAAAAAGCAAGGAGCAAAATATGAAGAAATGCCATCAAGCACTAACAGACTGTGTATCTCTATTTTTTTTCTGTATCCCTGATTTTATGCTTCTAGAAACACGCAGCCAAAGCTCAAATCCTTTATCTCTACCTGAAGCTGCAGCCCTATTTCTTAGTTCCTTGCAGAAAGCACAAGAAGAAGGTAAATGTGTATTTTGCTTTCAAAAAAGCTTTCAAAACGGATTTATCGCTATTTCATTTGCTAACATTTTAATCTCCTATATCTTTCTACGATTTACATCTTCAGTTACAGGACTGCGTTTTGCTTAAGCTCTACTCTTTTTGGGAATGCAGTTGGGAACAGGGAAGTTGTGAAGGAGAGGGAACACCATGTGTGCTGTGGAGAGTCTGTTCTATGACTGCTGGATGCTGGGGCAGATGCGGTAGCTCATGCAAGGACAGGAATGTATCTAAGTTGTGGTGCTCGTCTCCGATCAAGGACAGGGAGCAGACATTTTAAAGATAAAACAGATTTAAAAAAATAAAGATAACAATGCGTTAAGGAGAAAATCCTCTAAAGTTCTCTGAATATGAGAGAGCTAAGCAAAACTGGGAGCTTGTTTGAAGAATACTCCATGGAATAACATGCCTATATTGCAGTGGGACATAGCAGACGAGTCAAATATAGATAAGCCATTCATGTTCAGAAGATCACTTTCAGGTGATTTTAGAATATTCTTGATTAAGGCAAATGTCCATCTAAAACCCGAACATGTTATTTTCTTCTCATGAAAATTCTGTGCCTTGTACTGAAATATGTCTCTGCCTCTCAGCAAGTGCAAAACTTCTCGAATTGCACTGGAAATGAGAGAAGTTGTGATCATTTCTACAGATGCCTGTGCCTCCTACCTAAATAGTCACATTACACTATACCTTTATTTACAGCTTATTTTTCCCCATTGTATCTTGTCTTGCAGTTGACGAAGAAACCAGTGATCACCCTGGATACTTGACAGACAATCTATCAAATTGGTGAAATATTCCGAATTTCTTTAGCGTTCATATGCTGAAATCATGATTTGAGTGAAAAGAATATTTAATTCCTTCCATCTCCACCTAAGTTCGAAAAGAATGATGTACATGTTCATTCCATTATTTTGAAAGCAAAGTCATTAAAAGTTACCCATTCTGATAAGAAATCACTTGTAAAGTTCCAGTCTTGTTTAGACCATTCTGCATGTACCACCCAAAGTTTAAAATCTGCTGTACTGTCTTAGCTGAAAGAGTAAAATTGTCTTTCTAGACAATTATTTCATTAAAAGCATTTTTCAAAAGCCACTGGAAAGCCTTTTACCACTTTTCACCTAGCTTTATTTTTAAAATTTTTATTTCTGATATAGGTAGACTCTTTCATCACTTCATTGTTGACCCTGCGTGTTATCGATAGTCCAAATAAGTCACTGAGATACTGTTGGCAGCAAAGCAGGCAATTTCTTCTTGGACAACACATCAGCACAGAGTATAGGCCACAGTGCTTACTGAGAGCTCAGTGCTACCTCAGAGTTACATACATTTTCAAACCTACCCTCTGAACAATCCTATTGAACTCCCTCTGCATAAAGACAGTGTGTGGATAGCTCTGACCAGGATGAGGGCTTCATTCATGCTTGTGTCAAACAGCAGCTGCTATTATCGGGAGGTAAAATACCGCTGAAGATAGTGGGGAGGCACTGGTTAGGAACCTAGTGTCAAGCATGCCAACAGGCACGTCAAGTATTCATGGGATCATTGTTGCAATTTTTGAGGGCATGTTTTTTGGGCTGAAAATTGGAAGCATACATAAAATGGTTAATTATCGTTTTATACTGATAAGGATAAATATAACATTATGCAGTTTGGTAGCATTACTGCAAAGCCCTCTGTAGTTCTCATGTGATTGAAAAGTTGCTACATGACTCTTGTGTCCAAGCAATTATGTTTTATTTATTAACCTTTAGCCCTAATTGTGCTTTTCATCTTCCAATGCTACTTTTCTCTGATCTTTCTCATGACACTTAATTAATTATGCTAACTCCACACAAAGAAATATAGCTGACGTAACAAAGGAATTAAATCCTACCATGAGATCAAAAGGAATGTTCAGTTATTGTGTATAATTTTTAACACTTCATGGAAGAACTTAACTGGAGAAATAGCAATGCCCTCGTTTGTTTTTGTTTTGTTTTGTTTTTGTTTGTAAGTGCTAGTATATTCATCAACTGCAGTAGTTACTTATAGTAGGTTACTTACGGCATTCACTACGGACTTCATCTAAAAATCAATGGTATCCACTGGAATCTTTTCATTAATTTAATTATTCTTTGTTTCGAGCCTACTCTGAATGCCTCAAGTGCATCCTACTTGTTTTACAGCATATTTTTTCAGCATAACCTAAAATAAAAAGTCCCAAGACAAGAGGCTTATACATCTTTCGGTATATCAGTACCATGAAACTCATGTGCCTCTAAATATAAAAACTATATAATATAGATATAAAAAGTGTATTCCCCACTGACTGATATCTCCATGTATTCCTGTAAATCTAAGCACACTCATTTAAAGAATTCTTTACAAATGCTATGAAGCAGAACAAAAGTTCTGCCTTAGAAATGAGATGCTGTGCAACCTGGATATTTTCAATATGGCAATTGCCTATATAACAGATAGCTGCTACCAGGCTTGTCACATGTCAGTTAGAAATTTGTGGCATTCGAGGGAGACAATCTGTTGTTCTGAATGATCTAAAAGCCATTTCCCCTAAAACTACAGGCTCAAAAGTTAGTAATGTTTTGCCATAGCTATATTGCCTTGGTACTGACAGCTAGTCCCAACAGTCAAGATGGAACTAAAATAAGCTTAGAGACATGGTCACTTTGGTCCCTGCAGGTCCATTTTGGAGAAAAACGGGCACAGCATTCACGGTAGTCATGTCTGGAAAGCTATGAACTTTCTGTCATGCAATGAGTGCTAACAGCACCCTCATTTGTGTTAAAACCCATGCAGCTGAATTTCTGTGGGATGTCACAGGAGATTCCCTTCTTCCCAGGGAATCCAAACTCCATAGGCATGTCTAAAAGAATCTGCAACCTGGACCATGCATTTGGTCTCTTGTCCAGCAGGAACAAGGGAAGTTGTCTTAATGCCCTAGTGAAACTCTTCCATACTGCATATTGTCTGTTTTGCCTCAGTCATTTAGAGTGACTTAAAGTACCTACATAGGAATCGTGTCTTCAAGCACTGAAATGATGATAAAGAGATGTCCATGACCATGTGGCTACCATGTTAGTTGTAGGCAACAAAGGAAGGAAAGTGCTGAATCATTTTCAGAGGATAATTGGTGCAATTTTGATGATAGGGATTTTAGTTTAATGGTGCAGGAAGTCCAAACAATAACACCGATTTTCTTGATATTAGTATTAAAAAAATAAATAAATAAAGGTTAGCTTTAAAGCAATAAGAGTTGGGGGAAAAATAACATTTTGAAATGTAAATTCATGTTTTGATGCTAAAGTGAATTTTCTTTCAAAAAAGGTATGTTATTCAGTTAGAAATACAAAGATAAAAATTGAAACAAAATATTGCTTAACTATCAAAAAAAATTTCACCTACCATATCTATGTTTGTCCTTCCAAATTTTTGACCTTTTTTTCTTTTTTTTTCAAGATCTTGACTTTTCATTATGATTTACAACTGGTCTTTTTTTTTTTTTAATATCTGTCCAATATTCACATGTCTTTTTGCTGTTTCACGTGCCTTTCAAATTTTCTTTTGTTGAATCTCTCAACCATTACATTCTTCGACTGTGCAAAGGAACTTTAATTGAGATAAAATCATTCCAGGGAAGAATCTATACTTCCAAATTGACAAAATGCAGTTATTCTCCACTCTGAAAACTGCGAAAGGAAAAATATTTGCAATATCTTTGTTTTCAGAATTTTCACAGCAGAAATAACTACCCACTAGTTGATTTTAGTTACTTTAAAACAATGTAACAATGGCAGTTCTTTGCAAATCCTAATTCAGCTCATTTTCTATAAAAATCTGGGCCTGTCCTCTGAAAATACTCATTTTTTTTAGATATCCAGAGTGTCTTAAGAATGAAATGGCAATTTAAAAATTGATTTCAGGTGACCAAAAATACAGATAGGCACTATCACATTTTTCACTATCACTTTTACTAGACATCACTATGATGTCTAGTAAAATCCATCTCATCTAGTATCAGTTAAGCACTTAAAAGCAGAAGACTAATCAAAGCTGGCCATTCCCTTAGAACTGACAGCAAAGGTGAACACTTGCAAAGCTCAGAAGAGCTCAGCTCCCCAAGAACAGGTTAAATCAACTCCTGGAAACCTTGAAAATCACGAGAAATCCTTGATACACAAACTCCTAAAAATACAAGATGGATCTCCTTCCTAGTCTTTGTATTAAGATCTACTTACAAAGATCTTGTTCAGGCACTCTCTGCGTCTCTAAGAATTTAAGTATCTTTAGAAGTATCTGTAAGGCAATCTAGATGCCTAGTTCTTATTATGAGGTTTAGTTATTCCCTAAGCACTTGAAGAGTATTAAGAGATAAGGTCTCTTCTGAAGAAGTGAAATGGATCAAGGACAAACAGGACAACTGGCAGAAATAAGGTTACTTGCTTCTGATTGTTCCCACATTAATCTATGGCATGTAGGTTTGGAGGGCATTCTTGACCCAAGTAACATTAATATGTGACTCCCCAAATCAGTTTGTTCATAAACTTTCTCTAAGTCAGAAGAAAAACACTGAGACGTACCAGAGGAATCAGAAAATAAACGGTCTGCTGTTTATTGTGGGTGTAAAGGACTTCAGAAAGATGACTTGATCTGCTTCTAAAAACTAAAACGCCCACTGCATAAGATTGTATTTTGCCACAGGAAGTATGTTTTACAACTGCATCAAGACACTTCTGTGTGCTGTAAAAAAAAAAAGATTTTAAATGATGCAAGTTTACTATAAGATAAACAGCATGAGGAAGAAAGACCATTTTCTTTTCAATTTGTCTTTTTCAACCCTGCCAAGGTTTCCCCAGTGTAACACTTTTTTGTCTCTAAATATTCTGTGCTCTGGCTTAAAGTTCATATTAGCTTGGGGAGGGAAAAGGGGAGACATGAAAGAAGCAGGGGTTTATCTGGCACAACCATAACGGAGCTATCAGCATGGACTATGATTAGTATAGACAATTATGAAGAAAAAAAGTAGTATCTGCAGTGCATAGAGTCTCATGAGGGGACTTTCACATTCTTTAAGTTTATTAAGCTTGGGAAAGCTGTTCTATCTCCAAGAGGGACAGAAGAATTTTCATTTAAACTACTTGTAGGGTAAAATAACATTAGGTTAAACAACAGTGTAGCTCAAGTAATATTTAAGATTCCCCTAATTATACCACTTTGTCCTTTAATGCAAAGCTTGCCAAGTCTACAGGAGAAATTGTTGAGTGGATGGAGACCCTGCCAGGGTGAGAGCAATGAATTCAGTTCCTATATTCTCCATGCTGCTTTTTCTTTCCTTGTGGCAATACTCCAAGGGAAAAGGGAGACTTGATGTTTTGCCGATCCCTTTCAGCTTCCTCATCCTCATCGTATCTTTCATCCTCATCTTCATCTTCTGCTTCGCTATGTTGAGGGCTGGAATGCTGAGAGACAGAGGGTGATGGTGGCACTGATGAAGGCCTGGGGTACCTGAAACCTTCCGTCTGACAGAGAGAGAAGCAAGTTATAAATATTATTACAGTGTTTCTCATTTGATTGCATACAAGAATTTAAGGCTGTCAGCACTGCAAGGCACAATATTAGTGATGAGATATAGGCTAGATCTGCTCTGCACTCTGAATCTAAATTCCCTTGAATGCAGATTCCCTCAGTCCTTCTGTCCAACAAGTATATCCAATGATATGGTGACCTTCCAGTACTACCTGCTGCAAAATATGAAACAATATATTTACTAAGCCTTAAAACTTCACTCATATACCAGATCCTTCTGAATCCACAGTCAGAATGTACTTGCAAAAATTCAGAATTAATCTTCATTAATTAAAACAGTTTCCTAGTTATACTGTTAATTTCTGCAAAAAATAGAGCCACAGAATAGGATTTTGACCTGAGCCTCTTTTCTCCCTATTATATCAAAAATTCAGCTGCTAACTGGAGGCGTCTGGAAATTTGATTTCAAACAACTTATA